AATCGGCAGTGTATCAAATACTTTTTTATCCCCACTGTACATAGTTTATTGTTATATTATTTATAAAATTATGAAATTATTCATTATAATATGAGAGCAAAAGAGAACATGCACAGGGAATATGCCTTTTGGTGTGTGTGATGTGTTCTAATAAATCAAGTCCTAGTGTCACGGAATCAGCCGAGGCTGCTCCTCCTCCTTGCTCGGGCAGGCTTCGGCGTTCGTCGTCCCCGGAGTACTAGCTGCCACCGATCTATGTTTCGGTGTTTGTCTAGTTTGTCTTGATTGTTTTCACCTGTTTCCCATTATGTTACATTGTATTCCCTTAATAACCCCCTGTCTCTCATTGGTTATTGTGTGTGATTGTTTTCCGTGAGGTCGGCAGTGTTCGGGTGTATGCGTATTTTGTTCCTCCCTGTTTGGAGGTTTTGTTTGTATTTTTGATTACTGTGCAAGTAAAGTTCGTCTGCCAGTAGCTCGGTGTCCTGCGCTTGACTTCGCTCACAGCATACACGTCGCCCTGACAGAATCACACACCACACATGGAGTCAGCAGGAGCGGCGGTGCCAGCTGGATCAATGGAGGAACGCGTCGAACACCAAGCGGCCATGATCCAGGCTCTCGGCACCGCCATGGAACGGGTGGTGAGCACTATGGAATGATGGGAAAGAGGGGGTCTGCCTACGCCTCCTCCAACGATACCACCACCATCGAATGCCCATCGCTTCACCTCCGAGGTCCAGTGGGATTCGGCTCTCGCTCCCGAGGGCTTATGATGGCACAGCAGCCTGGTGTCAGGGCTTCCTGCTCCAGGTTGAACTCTACCTAGCAACCATCCACCCGGTGCCCTCGGGATACGAGAGCGTATCCGCCCTCATCTCCTGTCTGTCCGGCATGGCGATGGAGTGGGCCAACGCCGAGTGGGGGGGAATAGACGCAGCTACTGTCAACTATGCGGAGTTCACCCGCCGCTTCAGGGCAGTATTCGATCATCCACCAGAGGGTAAAGCGGCAGGTGAGCGTCTATTCCACCTTAGACAGGGGAGGAGGAGCACACAGGAGTTCGCGCTGGACTTCCGGACACTGGCTGCCAACGCGAGATGGAATGAGAGGGCCCTCATCGACCACTACAGATGTAGCCTGAGGGAGGACGTGCGTCGGGAATTGGCTTGCAGGGACACCAACCTCTGCTTCGACCAACTGGTGGACATGTCCATTCGCCTGGATACCCTGTTGGCTACCCGCAGACGTCCGGATTCAGGGCCGTCCATTCCATCCCCCAGCACTTCCGAGCCGACCCCTATGGAGCTCGGAGGTGCTGGTGCTAGGGAGACCAGGAGAGAGACCAGGAGGGAGGCCATCCCCTGCACCAACTGTGGCCGCAGAGGACACACTGCTGGTCGGTGCTGGGGAGGGTCTCCTAGGAATCGAGGCAGTAGGCAGTGCACGGATGAGTCATTCCAGGTGAGTAGGCACCCAACTCACCCAGAGCTCTCTGTTGCGCATATGTGTATTAAAGTTGTGTTTCCCGAGGTTTCTCCTTACTCCCAGCATAAGGCGCTAGTAGATTCAGGCGCAGCTGGGAATTTTATCGATCGCCAGTTCACCTATAAGTTAGGGATTCCTATTGTACCTGTTGATGTGCCCTTCCCCATCCATGCCCTAGATAGCCGCCCTTTGGGGTCAGGAATGATTAGGGAAGTCACAGCGCCTCTCAGGATGAGGAGATACTACGTTTGTATTTGATTGATTCTCCTGCGTTTCCTGTGGTGTTGGGGCTTCCCTGGTTAACATCTCAAGACCCCAACATTTCATGGCAACAGAGGGCTCTCAAGGGATGGTCTGATCAGTGTTTCGGGTGGTGTGTAGGTGTTTCCGTAGGGGCAACGACGGTGGAAAGCCCGAACCAAGTTCCCACCATGCACATTCCACCTGAGTATGCCGATTTGGCACTCACTTTCTGTAAAAAGAAGGCGACTCAATTACCACCTCATCAACAGGGGGATTGTGCGATAGACCTCCAAGTAGGCGCTGCGCTTCCGCGTAGTCATGTGTATCCTCTGTCTCAGGAGGAGACGGCGGCTATGGAGACATACGTCACCGAATCTCTGAAACAGGGATACATACGGCCGTCCACTTCCCCTGCGTCCTCAATTTTCTTTTTTTGTGAAGAAGAAGGATGGAGGTTTACGCCCGTGTATTGATTACCGTGGTCACAATCTGATCACAATCAAATACAGCTATCCTCTCCCTCTGATTGCTAGTATGACGGAGTCATTACACGGGGCGCGATTCTTCACAAAATTGGATCTCAGGAGCGCGTACAACCTGGTGCGCATTAGGGAGGGAGATGAGTGGAAGACAGCATTCAGTACCACCTTGGGTCACTATGAGTACCTCGTCATGCCATACGGTTTAATGAATGCTCCTTCAGTCTTCCAATCATTTGTGGACGAGATTTTCCGGGACTTGCATGGACAGGGTGTAGTGGTGTATATTGATGACATTCTAATATACTCCGCTACATGAGCCGAGCATGTGTCCCTGGTGCGTCGAGTGCTTGGTAGACTGTTAGAGCATGACCTGTATGCGAAGGCGGAGAAATGTCTGTTCTTCCAGGAGTCCATCTCCTTCCTGGGACATCGGTTGCCCGCGTCAGGGGTGGAGATGGATATTGACCGCGTTTCTGCCGTGCGTAATTGGCAGACTCCCACCACGGTGAAGGAAGTGCAGCGGTTCTTGGGTTTTGCCAATTACTACCGGAGGTTTATCCTGGGCTTTGGACAGGTAGCAGCTCCCATTACCTCCCTGCTAAAGGGGGGTCCGGTGCGTCTGCAGTGGTCGGCTGAGGCGGACAGGGCGTTTAGACATCTGAAGGACCTGTTTACCCTGGCTTCGGTGCTGGCACATCCGTATCCCTCTTGGGCGTTCCAAGTTGAGGTGGATGCGTCCGAGGCTGGGATCGGCGCTGTGCTGTCTCAGCACTCGGGTACGCCATCAAAACTCTGCCCCTGTGCTTTCTATTCTAAGAAGCTCAGTCCGGCGGAGCGCAATTATGACGTGGGGGACAGGGAGCTGTTAGCTGTGGTTCAAGCACTGAAGGTGTGGAGGCATTGGCTTGAGGGGGCTAAACACCCTTTTCTCATTCTGACTGACCATCGTAACCTGGAGTACATCCGGGCAGCGAGGAGGCTGAACCCTCGCCAGGCAAGGTGGGCTATGTTTTTTTCCCGATTTGTATTTAAGCTCACCTATAGACCAGGGTCACAGAACGCTAAGGCAGACGCCCTGTCCCGACGATATGACACAGAGGAGAGGTCCATTGAGCCCACTCCCATACTTCCGGAGTCTTGTCTGGTGGCACCGGTGGTGTGGGAGGTTGATGCGGACATCGAGCGGGCATTACGTACCGATCCTACTCCCCCACAGTGTCCAGAGGGTCGGAAGTACGTGCCGCTCGAGGTTCGCGATCGATTGATATATTGGGCTCACATGTCACCCTCCTCTGGTCATCCTGGTATTAGACACCTGCCCAGAGGGAAGTTACAACCCCTACCCGTTCCACAACGGCCATGGTCTCACCTATCGGTGGATTTTGTCACAGACCTTCCCCCCTCCCAGGGGAACACGATGATCTTGGTCGTTGTGGATCAGTTTTCGAAGGCCCTCCGTCTCATTCCTATGCCAGGTCTCCCTACTGCCCTACAAACTGCTGACGCCCTGTTCACACACGTCTTCCGGCACTATGGGGTGCCTGAGGATATAGTGTCTGATCGGGGTCCCCAGTTCACCTCTAGAGTCTGGAGGGCGTTTATGGAACGTCTGGGGGTCTCGATTAGCCTTACCTCAGGTTCCATGTGTCTCTCCTCAGGCCAGTGGTGGCTGGTCCACTCCAGGAGAGTGAGGTACGAGAGGCTCCTCCGCCCCCACTAGACATCGAGGGGGCTCTGGTGTATTCAGTCCGTTCCATCTTGGATTCGAGGCGTCGGATGGGGGGCCTGCAGTATCTCGTGGAGTGGGAGGGGTACGGTCCGGAGGAACGGTGCTGGGTCCCTAGGAGGGACATCCTAGATCCCTCCATGTTGAGGGACTTCCACCGGAATCATCCGACTCGCCCTGCTCCGCGTCCTCCTGGCCGTCCCCGAGGCCGGGGTCGGCGCACGGCTGGAGCCGCGTGTCAAGGGGGGGGGGGTACTGTCACGGAATCAGCCGAGGCTGCTCCTCCTCCTTGCTCGGGCAGGCTTCGTCGTTCGTAGTCCCCGGAGTACTAGCTGTGTTTGTCTAGTTTGTCTTGATTGTTTTCACCTGTTTCACATTATGTTACACTGTATTCCCTTTATAACCCCCTGTCTCTCATTGGTTATTGTGTGTGATTGTTTTCCGTGAGGTCGGCAGTGTTCGGGTGTATGCGTATTTTGTTCCTCCCTGTTTGTATTTTTGATTACTGTGCAAGTAAAGTTTGTCTGCCAGTAGCTCGGTGTCCTGCGCTTGACTTCGCTCACAGCATACACGTCGCCCTGACACGTAGGTTTAAAGTCCTTCAGTTATTCCGTTTTTTTTTTACACCTAGCTTCCAACATCATGCCCATTATCTTCTATTGAATAACATTGAATAGTATGCTAATCCTACCTAAATTAAGTAGTCTACTGCATAAGTAGTTTTAGTTTTTTAATCGCACACATCTAGAAGACATGCAAGCAAAATAAAACTGCTATTCCAGTTGTAAACGCTGAAATATTTATTTTGTATTCAGTCATATATACCTTAGTAAAGTACATTTCTTCATACAGTAAGTGCTTTTCAAAATGTGTTCAAGTTGCTGTGAGGTAATTACCTGAGTCTGAGGTATACGGACAAAAGGAAGCAGTGAAGTCGATAACAAGGTCAAACAAATCCACCTCTGACTTAACCACAATACCACCTTATATATATAACACAAAAGACGTTCATGGCTGACAACTGACAGAGAAAAACAGTTGAAATGGTCTTGCCACAGCGTTTATGCGGCCTCAAACATCTTCTTCCTGCCGTCCATGCCGGCCTTGTCATCAATGTTCTTGCGCCAGTCACCAACTGTATCTTTGTCCTTTAATGGAGAGTGGGTGTTACAGTAGAAATATTAGGTCAAGATTGACTCTAAGCTATTTGTTTTGATCAAGGAAATTATTTATATTGAGCTTTAAGGGGTTTATAAAAGGAAAATAAGTAAATAGGGTGTTATTAATCAATATGGAGTGATATTAGTGCCAAAATAATTGGATATGAGTAGAATGATTGACTACAAATGTAATGTATGTTGGCACTGATACATAGCCTCGGGAAGTAAGGGTGCTGGAGGTGCTGCAGCACCCAAAATTATAGGATTACTCCTGTCTGTACAGAAAATAAATACAATAATTCAGATTACTACACCAGAGAGCATTATTTAGCCAGAGAGGATCAATAGCTTCTTTAGCTGTGGATTGTGTGTAAACACAAGCGCATACAGTCAGGAAGCCCGCCACAATTTGGGCATGCTGCAAATACCAAACAGCTGATTGTGAGAGTTACGGCTATCAGTGAACAGCAGCTAAAATATCCTGGCCTCTCGTAATATTTTGAAATACAATCGCGGGAAAAACTGTTTGGAAAGCAAATGCTACTGCTGAAAAGAGAATTTAGGCTACCAAAGTATTACCTATACAGTGGGGGGAAAAAGTATTTAGTCAGCCACCAATTGTGCAAGTTCTCCAACTTACAAAGATGAGAGAGGCCTGTAATTTTCATCATAGGTACACGTCAATTATGACAGACAAAATGAGAAAAAGAAAATCCAGAAAATCACATTGTAGGATTTTTAATGAATTTATTTGCAAATTATGGTGGAAAATAAGTATTTGGTCAATAACAAAAGTTTCTCAATACTTTGTTATATACCCTTTGTTGGCAATGACACAGGTCAAACGTTTTCTGTAAGTCTTCACAAGGTTTTCACACACTGTTGCTGGTATTTTGGCCCATTCCTCCATGCAGATCTCCTCTAGAGCAGTGATGTTTTGGGGCTGTCGCTGGGCAACACGGACTTTCAACTCCCTCCAAAGATTTTCTATGGGGTTGAGATCTGGAGACTGGCTAGGCCACTCCAGGACCTTGAAATGCTTCTTACGAAGCCACTCCTTCATTGCCCGGGCGGTGTGTTTGGGATCATTGTCATGCTGAAAGACCCAGCCACGTTTCATCTTCAATGCCCTTGCTGATGGAAGGAGGTTTTCACTCAAAATCTCACGATACATGGCCCCATTCATTCTTTCCTTTACACGGATCAGTCGTCCTGGTCCCTTTGCAGAAAAACAGCCCCAAAGCATGAGGTTTCCACCCCCATGCTTCACAGTAGGTATGGTGTTCTTTGGATGCAACTCAGCATTCTTTGTCCTCCAAACACGACGAGTTGAGTTTTTACCAAAAAGTTATATTTTGGTTTCATCTGACCATATGACATTCTCCCAATCCTCTTCTGGATCATCCAAATGCACTCTAGCAAACTTCAGACGGGCCTGGACATGTACTGGCTTAAGCAGGGGGACATGTCTGGCACTGCAGGATTTGAGTCCCTGGCGGCGTAGTGTGTTACTGATGGTAGGCTTTGTTACTTTGGTCCCAGCTCTCTGCAGGTCATTCACTAGGTCCCCCCGTGTGGTTGTGGGATTTTTGCTCACCGTTCTGGTGATCATTTTGACCCCACGGGGTGAGATTTTGCGTGGAGCGCCAGATCGAGGGAGATTATCAGTGGTCTTGTATGTCTTCCATTTCCTAATAATTGCTCCCACAGTTGATTTCTTCAAACCAAGCTGCTTACATATTGCAGATTCAGTCTTCCCAGCCTGGTGCAGGTCTACAATTTTGTTTCTGGTGTCCTTTGACAGCTCTTTGGTCTTGGCCATAGTGGAGTTTGGAGTGTGACTGTTTGAGGTTGTGGACAGGTGTCTTTTATACTGATAACAAGTTCAAACAGGTGCCATTAATACAGGTAACGAGTGGAGGACAGAGGAGCCTCTTAAAGAAGAAGTTACAGGTCTGTGAGAGCCAGAAATCTTGCTTGTTTGTAGGTGACCAAAACTTATTTTCCACCATAATTTGCAAATAAATTAATAAAAAATCCTACAATGTGATTTTCTGGAATGTTTTTCCTCAATTTGTCTGTCATAGTTGACGTGTACCTATGATGAAAATTACAGGCCTCTCTCATCTTTTTAAGTGGGAGAACTTGCACAATTGGTGGCTGACTAAATACTTTTTTTCCCCCACTGTAGTTAAGCTACCAAATATGTTATCAACTTTGCAATATTGAGGGCACAGCATTGTTTTACAAAGTATCTTTGAGAGATAGGCTATTGGCATGACTGCATCTGCCATCGCTGGTAATGCGTGTATTCAGTATCTTCATCATCGGGAGTCAATGCCACTTGAAATCTTTTGAGGACTATAATTTCCTCCTCATATTGTACAGTCTGTGTGTCTCCACTCTTTTCATTGGCCTAAGCTATTGGTTGCATTCAAGGCTAGGTCGTTTCGATTTATCTCAGTTTGTCAGTGTCAGAATGCTGTCCATTTGATAATTTGTGTGGTATTAAAAACTAGTCACGTCAAATTATGTAGAATTGCATGAAATGGGGTTTTAAAAATGTCACATTTTCCCTGGACCTTACTAAATGCCTGGACTCCTTTTTCCGTATGTGTGCAAATCCTAGAAACGCCTCTGCTCTACTCTATGCCACTATACGCAAATAAGATGATAGATGCACCCCCCCACCCCCCCCCCCCAAGCCCCCACTCAACTCAAAACATCTTCCCGTGGCTATGCACTGATATCAATCCATAGTATATATATTTTTTAAACATAACTATGCCTCCATGCTACTCACATCCTCTTTGACTTCCTTCTTCACTTGTTTCAGGTTGGCTCTCAGATCCATGGTCACCTTGTGCTTGGAGCCCAGCAGTGCCTGGAGCATAGCATCAGCAGACATACGCACTTTCTTCAGTGCTGGCTTCTTCATGCCCTGGATCTCAACCACTTTAATCCTCAAATCATCAATCTGTAAAGAGTGAAGGTCAGGAAAAACGCAAGATATGCACTTTTATCTTCAAGTCATCAATCTAAACAAGAGAGAAAATCAACAAACGTAATCAACCTCAACTGGATGACAACAGGATCTCATTTGATGGATATATTAGGGTTTCTGTACCTCTTTGTCACACTTGCCCACTTTGCCTGCCAGGTCGTATCTCTCCTCATCCACTTTATCAATCTGGTGATGGATTGTCTTGCACATTTCCTGCAGTTGGTTATCAACAAAAGGAACCTTCAACAACTGCACTGTGGTGTGACAGTGAATTTCCTACTGTGTAGATTGAAAATCCAGTTTAAAGGCACAGTGCAGTCAAACACATGATTTTAAACCTGTGTTTTAAAAACACTGAGTGTACAAAACATTAGGAACACCTGCTCTTTCCATGACATAGACTGACTAGGTGAATCCAGGTGAAAGCTATGATACCTTATTGATGTCACTTGTTAAATCCACTTCAATCAGTGTAGATGAAGGGGAGGAGACAGGTTAAAGAAGGACTTTTAAACCTTGAGACAATTGAGACATGGATTGTGTATGTGCGCCATTCAGAGTGTGAATGGGCAAGACAAAAGATTTAAGTGCCCTTGAACGGGGTATGGTAGTAGGTGCCAGGCGCACCGGTTTGAGTGTGTCAAGAACTGCAATGCTGCTGGGTTTTTGATGCTCAACAGTTTCCCCGTGTGTATCAAAAATGGTCCACCACCCAAAGGACATCCAGCTAACTTGACACAACTGTGGGAAGCATTGAGGTCAACATGGGCAGGCATCCCTGTGGAGTGCTTTCGACACCTTGCACAGTCCATGCCCCGACGAATTGAGGCTGTTCTGAGGGCAGAAGGGAGTGCAACTCAATATAAGCAAGGTGTTCCTAATGTTTTGTACACTCAGTGTATATTTCCACACTATGAGGTTGGAATAATACTGGGAAATTGTGAAAATTATGATAATTCCCTTAAAGTGTAAGACCCATTTGAAAAGACGGCCTGAAATTTCATCCCGTTTTGATGGGATGGAGTTTTGGCCTGCCTGGAGACAACCTCTCTGCCAATAAAAGCTAGTTTTCAGTTTTCCCCTCCTCACTCAGACCCCTCCCAGACAGTCCTAGCAAAATTCTTGCTTGAGAAATTGCTCTTTGCTAAGAAGCTATTTTTGTATCATTTTGACCATTGTAATTGAAAACAATCACTGTAAGGTACTTAATTGTTACCCATAAATGATGCCTGCATTGGACCGTAATGAATGTCTCTTTAAGCACTTCTTTGTGAAGCCATGGTAAACACTGGTGATTTCAACTATTGGTGATACTGTACCTGCAGTTCCGCCAATGACCCAGGCAGGTCCAATGCAGGGCAGTTCTCATCCATGTACCTTTTTTTCTCTTCCACTGCCTCTATGGCCTCTGCCTCTAGCAAGCCCTTAGCAATCTGGAGCATTAAGCTCTGGAGGAGAGAGAAGCATGAATGTTGACACAACTGGATGACGGTTAACAGGGGAATACACATCACAACACACAGACACTTTCATAATAATAATATAATATATTTTGCTCAAAATCAAGTTACATTACAAAGATAACAATTAAATGTTACTAGAGACAATTTACCTTCAAATGATGCTTGCGACTCGATGACATTTTTTTCCTAAAATAGTTTTTCAAAAGGTGAGAATTTCCCCAAAAGGTATACATTTCTGATACAAATAATGGTTTGACATGGGGCTCATATAATGAGTTTCCAACTATTAATAAAAAAAAGGCTATTTCTTGATTTCCATGGATGCCCATGATCCTGAAGATTACATCATAATTAGAGTGAATACTATATTTTCTTTTCCACACTGAGCATGTAAAAAACATCCCTTCTTACCCATAGATGAACACCAACATAAAGGTGATGTTAACATTATTCAAACAGGGCAGAAAATATATACTGATATGTACTGATATAAAACATATTGGAACTTACTCAGACATCTTGGGCTTTTGTTTGCTTCAGACCCCTTTGGAAAGAAACAACAATACAACAATGTAATAAACTCACAGAATATACAATTCACTTGCAAATACTTTTGCACTCTTGACAACATTTTCTTTATTTGAATAGCATTTGAATATCAACAGCAATCTTTGACCAAACATAATTGACTTCGATGAATGAGATGTAACATTCTGCTTTCTCATGTAACAGAGATAAGAACACACCTTAAACTCACTCCACAGCTTGCTTGAATATTGCCAATGGTCCTATTGAATTGGATCGTTTTCTTTTTTTGTATATATATATACAGTGGGGAAAACAAGTATTTGATACACTGCCGATTTTGCAGGTTTTCCAACTTACAAAGCATGTAGAGGTCTGTAATTTTTATCATAGGTACACTTCAAATGTGAGAGACGGAATCTAAAACAAAAATCCAGAAAATCACATTGTATGATTTTTAAGTAATTCAATTGCATTTTATTGCATGACATAAGTATTTGATACATCAGAAAAGCAGAACTTAATATTTGGTACAGAAACCTTTGTTTGCAATTACAGAGATCAAACGTTTCCTGTAGGTCTTGACCAGGTTTGCACACACTGCAGCAGGGATTTTGGCCCACTCCTCCATACAGACCTTCTCCAGATCCTTCAGGTTTCGGGGCTGTCGCTGGGCAATACGGACTTTCAGCTCCCTCCAAAGATTTTCTCTTGGGTTCAGGTCTGGAGACTGGCTAGACCACTCCAGGACCTTGAGATGCTTCTTACGGAGCCACTCCTTAGTTGCCCTGGCTGTGTGTTTCGGGTCGTTGTCATGCTGGAAGACCCAGCCACGACCCATCTTCAATGCTCTTACTGAGGGAAGGAGGTTGTTGCCCAAGATCTCGTGATACATGGCCCCATCCATCCTCCCCTGAATACGGTGCAGTCGTCCTGTACCCTTTGCAGAAAAGCATCCCCAAAGAATGATGTTTCCACCTCCATGCTTCACGGTTGGGATGGTGTTCTTGGGGTTGTACTCATCCTTCTTCTTCCTCTAAACACGGCGAGTGGAGTTTAGACCAAAAAACTATATTTTTGTCTCATCAGACCACATGACCTTCTCCCATACCTCCTCTGGATCATCCAGATGGTCATTGGCAAACTTCAGACGGGCCTGGACATGCGCTGGCTTGAGCAGGGGGACCTTGCGTGCGCTGCAGGATTTTAATCCATTACGGCGTAGTGTGTTACTAATGGTTTTCTTTGAGACTGTGGTCCCAGCTCTCTTCAGGTCATTGACCAGGTCCTGCCGTGTAGTTCTGGGCTGATCCCTCACCTTCCTCATGATCATTGATGCCCCACGAGGTGAGATCTTGCATGGAGCCCCAGACCGAGGGTGATTGACCGTCATCTTGAACTTCTTCCATTTTCTAATAATTGCGGCAACAGTTGTTGCCTTCTCACCAAGCTGCTTGTCTATTGTCCTGTAGCCCATCCCAGCCTTGTGCAGGTCTACAATTTTATCCCTGATGTCCTTACACAGCTCTCTGGTCTTGGCCATTGTGGAGAGGTTGGAGTCTGTTTGATTGAGTGTGTGGACAGGTGTCTTTTATACAGGTAATGAGTTCAAACAGGTGCAGTTAACACAGGTAATGAGTGGAGAACAGGAGGGCTTCTTAAAGAAAAACTAACAGGTCTGTGAGAGCCGGAATTCTTACTGGTTGGTAGGTGATCAAATACTTATGTCATGCAATAAAATTCAAATTAATTACTTAAAAATCATACAATGTGATTTTCTGGATTTTTGTTGTAGATTCCGTCTCTCACAGTTGAAGTGTACCTATGATAAAAATGACAGACCTCTACATGCTTTGTAAGTAGGAAAACCTGCAAAATCGGCAGTGTATCAAATACTTGTTCTCCCCACTGTATATATATATTTCATAACAATTATAAAGACAAACAGAAAATAAACAAAATGAGGATCACATACACAAAATATTTTACATACAAAACAAAATCAAATAGAGCAGACATAATTTTCAGCAACCGATACAATTTTAAAGTACAGTTAGTGCTCGATTCAATCAGATCTGCTTTAGCCAACATCCACATAGCGGTTGTTTTGGCAGTGTCGGAGGTAGAACTTCGTTACAGCTGTCATATCCACAAGTAGTTACCGGTATTACACCTACGAGTGGGGCGGGTGGGGCTTTTTTTGTGACAATGATCGCTAGAGCAGCTACTCACAAATGTCATGGCTCCAACACAGTTCCACCTCTGACACCGCCAAAACATCCGCTATGCAAGTGTCTGCTATCATCGGTTAATGCTGGGTCTGATTGAATCTAGGCCTTAGTATTACAACTTAACAGATAGCAGCAGATATAATTTCATAATACTGTTAATGTTGTTAATGAAGATATATATTTTTAGAGCTTTTCAAAACAACTAGTATTATAAATGTAGATGAAATATGAAGTAGGATGCTTTGTTCTATAAAGGAAAATAGCAGAGACCATTCACTATTTAAAAAATGTTGGGTTAAAAACAACCCAATTTGGGTTATTTGGTAACCCAGCGCGTGGTAAATATTGGACCGAGATATTGGACAGAACAGTTATTTTGACCCAGCCAGTTGGGTTGCGTGAATAACCCAAAATGTTGGGTTGTTGGAATTACCAAAACACGGGTTAATTTAACCATTAGTTGGGTATTTTTTACTTTCATGCTGGGTTGACCTAGCAGCTGGTTTTTTTTTCAATGTAATCCTTAGGTTATTTTCAAGAGGCATGGCTTATTTGGGGCATGGCTTTCCGATAGATCTTATTGACCAACCGTGAGAGTAAATGTCACTCCTGTTCATCATGTTAAGTTCACATACTGAATTATTTTTCACACATTCTTCTATAATATTACGATTATTTATTACATATTATAATAAGGTATATCAACTTATTGCATAAGGGATACCACGTTATTGCATCCCAACAATTTACATAGGCTTTTAAGGAACTCATACACTTCTGTAAGCCTCATTGAAGCTACAAAAATGGCAATGTTCAGTGGGTGGGTTGTAATTCTTCCAAAACGCAAGAATACGTTTCTTAGCAAAGTACAAATAGTTATCAGCAACCTTATCTTGTCTGAATCAAGCATTTAATTAACGAGGTAAAGGCTTGGGGATTGTACCAATTCCATATTGAAATCATCTGTCTGAGTAGCTGTATGAATAGAGTTCTAGAAATTTGTTTTTTTGCACTGCCACAATAGGTCCAAAAAAGTTACTTTCTCAGTCTTACATTTCAGGCAATTTGGTGAAGTGTCTGGGAAAATACGGTTTAATTTAACAGGAGTAAAATAAAACTTGAAAATGAATTTGTAGTTAGTTTCCTTAATATTGGGACTAGTAAGTTGGTAGTGGATCTTTTTACAGATCTCAAGCCATACCTCCTCATCAAATTCCATGCCTAGGTCATTTTTCCACACCCTTTGAAGAGGGACAAAGGAGGATTCACATTGTTTGGATAATGTACAATACAGCCTAGCAATTATTCCTTTGATAGATATAGATGTGGCTATTCATTCTTCAATTCTGACAACTGAAATCTCAACCTTTCCTTCTTTTACAAACATAAAGACAACAGTTCTGATTTGAAGATATTTTATCAAATCTGTGCCAGGGATGTTATATTCAATAAATTACTTCAATGTATTACATCCACTATGGAACAAGTCAGCAAACATCCTAACAAAGGAGGTTGGTGGCACCTCAATTGGGGAGGACGGGCTCGTGGTAACGGCTGGAGCGGAATGAGTGGAATAGTATCAAATACATCAAACACATGGTTTCCATGGGTTTGATACCATTCCATTCGTTCCGTTAGACATTATTATGAGCCGTCCTCCCCTCAGCAGCCTCCAATGCCTCCTAAGACCCCGCAAGCATAAATTATGAAGGCCAACCTTTGAGAACACATTGGGCAAGTCAGGGTTAGAAGAAATAGGAGCAGGTGTTCGAAATACCCAAGTGCTTTCTACAGTCTGCCCATGCCATTAATGTGTTGTTCATAAAGAAGGTCTTACTGTTATCACATATATCTTCAGAGGTAAAAGGATGGCTAGATTGAGATTCAATCTGAACCCATAGGGAGTCCAGTCTGCCCAAAGTCCAGGACAGCAAATTGCAAGTTTGGGCTGATCAATAGTAATGTTGGAAATTGGGCAGACCCAGAACCCCCATAGACTCAGGTTTGACCAGAGTAGAGTACTTAATTCTGCATTTTTTTTGTACCATATAAACCTCAAAACATATTTCTTCAAAGTATCAAAACAATATTATGGTAAATAACAGGGCAACATTTGAAATAAATAATGAAGTCTGGAAAGAACGTTCATCCTGATTATGTTTATCCATCCAATCATTGTTACTGGGAGAGTGGACAAACGGATCAGGTCTTCTTTAATTTTGCTAACAATGGGAGTGTTATATTCTTTAAACAGATTCTTTAGGGCTGTGGTAACATTTTTTCCAGATATTTGAATCCATTTGGTTTCCAAGAGAAAGGGCAGACTAAATAGCTGGCTATTTAACAAACAAGCATTAGATTTGCTTTGTATCCAGAGAATTTACCAAATTGGGCAATAGTATCAATGATATGTGAAATGGAGT